TGGGGAGATGCACAATAAAGTATCACATACACATGCATTCCTCGGCGATTCACAATCAATAATTATAATTATCATACGTTAGCTGTCTGTCTGATCAAGTGTAGCATCGTTCAGTTAACAATATTACAGGATTCTGTAGTTTGAGCCGTTATTTCGGGTAATTAATGGTTAATGTTCAAATACTTTGAATTTGAATGAAAATTTGTACATACATGGCATGTATACCGCATACTAGTCTTGTATAGACGAGACCAAGCGGGCATGCCAGGGAGTAGGTATCATCCTTGCAGAAAGAATGGGTCAATTTGTGGAAGAGTATGAATGTGTAAGTCTAAGATTGCTATGGATACGAATGAAAATGGGCTTAAAGTTGTTTGTGCTAGGGGTCTACGCCCCAGACACGTCTAAGCTCACTTATATCCGAGAGCAGTTTTGATTAATGGTTAGAATCGTGTTAATGAAATGTAAGGGAAATGAAAATATTATTATGCTAGGAGATTTTAATGGAAGGGTTGGCGTGAGGAGGCTTGGTAATGAAAGGATATTGGGAACGTTTGGTGATGAAAGTACAAATCAGAATGGTGAAAGCTTCCTCAGCGTATGTATGAAATTTTTTTGTGACGAATACTTTCTTTCGCCACAAGAGGATTTACATGTATACTTGGGAAAGAGGTGATGATATAAGCATGATAGATTTCATAATTTTGGATGAAAGAATGAAGGGTAGTAGATACAAGGGTTTACCGGGGGTCTAACGTAGGAACGGATCATTATTTGGTTTTTTGCCGAATTAATAGTCATTGGTACCATCAGTCATCTGTGTTTGTCTGCCACCACTGCGTTACAGCGTATTAAAACAGAAAGGCTACAAGATGAAGGTGAAGAAAACAAGTACAAATGTAGACTGAAATAAAATATAAGTGGTTTGGACGAATTATTTATGAAGGAGTTAAACTTGGAGAATGTAAGGTAAAATGTTATGAAAGGTTTAGTAGATGCAGCTACCGAAGTATGTGTTGTTAGTAAGAGAAATAATAAAAGGAAAAATAATATGAAATGGTGGGAAGATGAGATACTTATGGAAGTTAAATCAAAGAATAAAATGAATGTATGGTTAGATTTACTAGCAATAAAGGCTCGTAATTCTAGAGGTTCGAATGATGATATTAAAAGGAAAAGGGCAGTCTTTGAACATCAAATTAGGAGAGTAAAAGAAGTGGTTGAAAGGAAAAAGCAAAAAAGAACGGATAAGGATGATAGAAAGATATCGGATAACTTCAAGGCAAATATTAAAATGTTTTAGAAACTCGTAAAAACTGGCAGGGGATATTCAAAACAGCCTATAATGAATACTATAAGAGACGAGAATGGCTATGTTCTGAATGATGGAGTTTTGAGTTTAAAGAGATGGAAGGAATATTTCGAAAGCGTGTTCATGACTCCGAAAGAAGAGGAAAGAGGTAGCGAGATAAGTGTGGATGAAATAATGAAAGCAGGGAAAAGCATGAAAGCGGGTAAGGCTGCCGGATATGATAGAATTTCACTCGAAATGCTAAGGGTTGGAGAGGAAGTGATGGCAGGCCTGCTACAAACTTTGTTTAATTTATGCTGGGGACTGAAGGGGGTACCGGTAGACTGATGCAAAGCTATGATAGCCCCAATATATAAAGGAAAAGGGTCGCAATAAGACTGTTAAAACTACCGTGGTATCAGCCTTCTTAGCATTGTGAGAAAACTGTTATGTATACTAAGGTACTACTTGAAAAGGTCATGAAAGAAACTGATGGAAAAATATGGGATGTGAAAGCAGGATTTAGAAAGGGAGTGGGATATACAGGTCAAGTCTTTTCCATGCGCATAATCGCGGAAAAGTTTTTGGCAAAAAACCAAAAGGTTTTTTGTGCGTTCATGGACTCGGAAAAGGCCTGTAACGGAGTAAATAGGGATATGCTATGGCAAACACTGAACTCATTTGGGTTGAGCTCTGGCTTGATACGGGCATTGGAGTCTCTTTGTAGTGACTCTAGTGCTTGTGTTAGGATCAACGGGGTCTACTCGGTCTGGTTTAGCATCCTTAAAGGTGTCAGACATGTCTGTGTGGCTTCCCCGTGGCTGTTCAACCTATTTATTGACAGTAATTTGGAAAATTTTAAAGTTGAAGAATCCGGATTAAAATGGGTGAGTTAACCGTCAAATACCTTTTGTACGCCAATGATCAAGTTATTTTTGCATCGTTGGCGCCGAGTTGCAAATGATGGTTGCATTAATGAATAAATCATTACCAGATCATTTTAAGTCATATATGATTAAAAGTGAACGCAAGTAAGACGAAAGTTATGGTTTTCGAAAGAGAAGAAAGTAAAAAGATATGTGAAACACGAATAGAAGAGTAGTTAATCGAGCAAGTATTGATGAGTTTGTATAATGTTGTAAAAATGTGTCAAAAAGCACGTATGGCAATTCACAATGTTGTCTTGGTCCCTATTTTAACGTATAGTAATGAAAGTTGGGTGTGGTAGAAGAAGCACGAGAGTAGAATAAACACAGTAGAAATGCGGTCGTTAAGGAGTATGTTAGGGCTGAATCTGAATGACATGGTGAGAAATCGTGTGATATATAAGAGTGTGGTTTGCAAGATGATATTGTGACCAGGATTAAGAAAGAAATGTTTCGATGGTTTGGTCATGTGAAAATAATGAAGGAGGAAAGAGTGACAAACAAAAAATTGCAGAAGTGAATGGCAGAGATTTATTAAAAACGGGCCAAATTTGGAGTATCCTACGAGCATGTTGCAAAGGTATATGGATGGATGTAAAGGAGGTGAGAGAGGTGTATCACGATCGTGCCAAATGTAAGTCTGTAGTTTCTGCCTACCCCTTTGGGTGACAGGCGTGAGTGTTTTATGTTTTTATTATGTTCAGATACTTAAATTTTAATTAGTAAAATTTATCCATCGAACCATAAATTGACACTCTTTATTCTAATTACAATAAGTCGTGCATGAAATGATTTGTCAAAAACAGAATTGGTTTATACGAAATGTTCACATGTCGTAAATTTATTTAATAGTTTGCCTACGAGTGAAAAATGTCATGGATATAGATAAATCTTAACCATGAGAGAGACAAAACTGTACTTAAATAGGTCATACTTAACTTATGTATATAAATACCTAAACCCGAGACGGAAAGTTCTGACTGAAAACAAATAAATAAATAGTGTTGATTTTACATGCAGAATAAAAATAATATTTTAAGATTACTTTAATAGTGTAATTTAAAAAGGGTAAAAAGTTACTGTATACAGTTGATGATACTGTAGCACGTCTAATCCTTCAAATAACTTTAACAAACAACGATAATTTAAAACACAAAAGACAACAGAAGCGTAATCACCTTTGACAAAGATGGAAAGCCGAGAAGCCTATAATTATTGTTTCTCCTTTGCCAAATTACTTTTTATACAGTAGTATATAATTCATTTGTTTTAGAGTAGGTACGAATTTGTTTACACCTCCCAGGCCATTCGCAAAACACGCGATTTTTATGTACATCATTCGTATGTTTTTTTTTTTTGATATTATGCACAATATTTTTAACAAAAAATAATTAATTTTTTTTTAAAAATAGTACAAAAATACCATTTTTTTTAATTTACACATGTAGCTAAAAACTTGAAATCCGCACTCATATCGACAGATTTGGGCCTCATATAATACGATCTGGAAAATTCTGCATCCGCAACATTTTAATACCAGAAATTATACAGGTGCATTGGTTTAATTACCATTTGTCAGAGGATTGAGATGATTTTGGAATTTCCACAACAGAAAATAAATAGTGATAGAATCTCTTCCCGCTGTCATATGTTAAAAAGAAGAGTAGTATATGGGTAAAAAAACATTTACGATCATTTAAGTTTGCAAGCAGTCCAACAATGTATTTTATAGCCGACAATAAAACAAAGTCAACCACCGCAACAAGCAGCAGGTGAAACGAGACGACGCAACGTCAGCACGACTCTTAGGTAGTAATCTTGTAAAATATACTTATTTTTAAATGAAATTAATAGCAAGTAAAACAAATTGGCCTGTGATAGCGGCAAAATAATCCCCCAAAATAACTCCTTTTTCGTGTGCCGTTAGAGATAACTGTAGAAAAGCTCGAAAAAAATTACATGGCATATAACAGATGGCGGTATAACTGTCTCGTACGATACGTATCTAGATAACCAGACGTAAAATAGTACTCCATATATATATATATATATATATATATATATATATATATATATATATATATATATATATATATATATATATATATATATATATATGTTAAAAGTAAAGTTTGTATGGAAGACCGTCATTTGTAGAGCTAGAAGCCTGAATTATGTCTATTTCACCCCCTTAGTGGTTGAATTTTCAAAAACCTTAGGATTTTTGAAAATTCAACCCCAAATGGGGGTGAAATAGGGGTCGAAAGTTTGTATGAGGAAACAAGATTAGTTAAACTGTTTTTTTTTTCGAAACTTCACAGGAGGACTCCTATCAACAAATGAGTAAACAAGTGTTTCAGGTTCTTTCAGAATTCAACCACAAAAAGGTGGAAAAAGGGTGACAAATTCTGAAAATAAACATGGTTATCGTTATTATGGTTTATCGGGTCTCTGATTACAATAACAACAACTATTTCAAAGTCCAACATAGCAGGCGGGTAATACCTACTATCATCTCCTGTGGCAACCCCACAATGTGGTTGAAATGTCAAAATGTATGTCGTTTTATGTTTTTTTGGGACGTTAATTACGAAAATAGCATCGATTATAATTTGAAACAAACATGCATTGAAGGATGGATGGATGTATGTTTGTATGATGTTAAAACCATCATGAGTTGGGTGGCTTGCGTGTCATGTTTAAGGTTTTTGGGTCGTAAATAACGTAAATGTTATTGATAAATATTTTAAACTTAATTTATTAGAATGGAATAGAAGAAATACACTTTCATTGCACAAAAACATAAAAACAAGAAGATTTCTACAAAAAAATTGCACAAAATCACAACTGAACAAAAAAAATACTAATTCAAACATTAAAAAACAATGAAAATCAACAACCGAACCAAATATAGTTTTAATAAAAAATAAAAATATAAATTTCTTCGCAATCTTCCGCTAAATAAATACAATGATGTGTCTTACCTGGATTGAAGAGCACCTCCCGCCCTCCCTCAATTGCATGCACTAACTCCGTCACCATGTATAATGGATTTCCGCAAAGTAACGCCTGATTCTATCAAATATATTTTTTACAAATTAATAGAATGGGAAAACCAAAAGAAATACTTACCTACCTATTTTGGATTTATCTTCAAGTTCTAATCCCTACCAATGGCGTTGGCATCGCTTTAAAACGCGGTAACGTTGTGTTTTTTCTAACTAACTGTTAACGTATATTTGTCTAGACTTCGACTTTGCTTGCTTACGGTTTAAGATTTGCTTCGTGTTTTGGATTGGTGATGTATTTTGGACGTAATCAGTTGTACGTAGTTTCGTGGATATGAGTAACTAGTTTCAAAACTGCTTAATTTTGTAACTAGTTACATCTGTATATAGTAATAGCGTTGGTTAGTTTGGTGTTTGTTATGTTAAGATTACAAAAATATTAACCGGTTATAGGTACATATTATAATATTAGTTTTACTTTTGTGTTTTGTTATGATTACGAATATATAAGAGTTTATAGGAATAATAATATGCGCGCGAAATTGTTAATATAATACCTTTATACAATTTTACACCGCCACAAAATACGTAAGTACCTAAATATTATTGTCCATCACATGACATAACTTTTATGATCCACATGATCTACAAAATTCAACCTAATGTAATACATCAATATATAAATAATTATTTATGTGCACTAATTAAATATTTATTTACACTATAAATGTTTATTCACAAAGAAAACTATACATGTAATAATATTTAAAAAAAAACGCAAAAGGTTTTTAAGAACACAGCTCACAGACAAGAGACAATAACATTCGTCAATCATCCCTTGCATTTGTTAACTGCCTAAAATTCTATTAGAAAGTAGAAACTCGGTCAACTGGACAAGGTCGCAATTAAAAAAAAATCATAATGAACTTTAAGTCTTTCCAATTACATATAAAATCTGTTCAAAACGAAACGCTTACACGTTCGCTGGTCGTTGTGTGTGTCAACTGCGTACGTAAGATAACATTTGTAACATTTTTCTCCACGAAACTGGTTATACGATTATCAGCCTCATAAGCAGTTTCTGAAACACGTTAAATAACGCTCACTTCTATTTCTTATAACCACTGATCAAACTTGAAATTTAATTTGCTTTGTGATTAGGTATTATTGACAGAAACGTGTACAGAAACCTAATATTAAAGAAAAAAATGGAAGAACAGACTGTCGTCCCCATTATAGGTGACGGTGCCTGTTTGTTTCGTGCTCTTTCATTTTTTATGTACGAAACCCAAGAAAATGCGATGGTGTTGCGTTCACAAAATGCTAGATTTGTGTTAAATTAGTGGCCTAGGTTTTCAGTTATGACCCACGACAGAAATGACAATAAATATTCAACACAAAATTAAACGCATGGAAGTAACTATCAAAGAGCGTGAACCTTTTTTCAGAGATTGACCAATTAACTGTTGCATCTTTTATAAACAGTGAAATATCACCTTCAACTAGCGGAAGAGATCAATCTGTATCGTTGATATTAAAATATGAAAAAATTAAAGAAAGTGTCGTCGTATCAAAAAAAATTCAGATGTACACAGGCAAGCTATTGCAAATTAACAAACTGCGAATCCACAAATGCATAGAGCAATTCAGTCACGGTATGGGGAAAACATTACACTGCGTTTGTGGAGTATGTTCCTGATATTGCTTATTGAATTGTCAGCAGTGTAGCTTTGGATTCTATGACATACAAGTGTCAGTGGTGCAATGCGCTGAAATATAATGACGAGACACTTGGTATGTGTTGCAGCGCTGGAAATGTGCAACTTGATCAGTTGAAACAAGTGCCTGAAATACTCTTTATTATGATTAAAATATAATTGATAGATAGTTATCTACACCCACGTCATGACCATTTTATAGGTAATAATCGTCTTTCAAATATATTTTGTAGCTGAAGATGATCGAGAAACAATGACTCAATGTTCGAAATTTCCTAACTTTAAGCCAAATTTAATCAAACAATAGCAAAATATTGCATCAAGTGCATCTAGTGCAATAGTGCATCAAGTGAACCCGTATATGAAAGTTCCGAAAATTTTCATTGATAAAACGCCTCTTTCAGAGTCATAAAAAGTTGTCAAATATGCTGATAAAAAACCACCAGAAAAACATAGAGGTAGATACAATGCAGCAACTACAAATGAAGTGGCTTAAGTGTTAGTGGGTTATTCTAAATAGGCAGCACTTTGCCAATGTGTTATTCAATCAACATACCACAACGCAATCCCACAACTAAGTTGACTCTTATTAAAACTGTCTCTTCTGCATGTTTCTATTCGTATAGAATAATGAATAAAGATAGAGAGAATAACTATTTAGTCAACTATTGTGCCCTTTTTAGTTAACATTTGGTAGAATAATACGCCAAAATAGAAACAGAGAAATCCAGTATTATTAAAAATACTTAACTCTCACTTAAATGTGGAATATTGCAATTCCGTGAAATCAATAAAATACGTCTTTAAATATGTAAATAGGAGTTCGGACCAGGCATCGTTTGTGTTTTTTTGGTTTGGTTCGGGTTTTTTCCCTTTGGGAGTGTGTTATGCACATTAAGCCTTTGGGAGAAATTCAAAGAATAGCTAACTGAAGATTTTAAAAGGCAATTAGAAAGACAGGGAGATGTGGATGTAGATAACGTAACAGATGTGGTATTTAACTAATATCTTTTGGTAATAGAAGATGCCATATCAGCGTTGGGTGGTCGGCTACTAAAAATATGGAAATTTGAAAATAGAGAGTTTCTTAAAAAGACAAGTTACAACTTAGCATCTTTGCAAAATACGGTAAAAATAATTAAAGATCACTGATTGACGAACAAAAAACAAGTTTTACAATAAAATTAACACAAAAATTGAATCAAGTGAGGGTGGAATATTCTTTTTAGACACTTCCGGTGGAACAAGCTAAACATTTCTCATAAATTTGCTATTAGCAAATGTTAGAAGTAGTCGCGGATTTCTTTGGCTGTGCCTCCTTCTAGGATCGCAGCTACACTGCTTGAGGGTGGACGAACTGCTCATCATACCTTCAAGTTACCACTCAATTTAACAGCAGCTGAAACTCCCATTTGTAATATATCGAAACAAAGTAACTTTACTGAGGTATATAAAACATACGAAAATGATAGTGTGGGATGAAATAACCATGGCTCATAAGGGTGTAGTGTGCAAAATATTAATTGATGTATATGACTTTATAAATAACAGTAAAATAGTTAATTGTTTAGTGTAATTGTAATATTTAATTTTCAATTATTTCTATATAAATTTATATTTCATAATTACGGACATACCATTCTACAGAAATTATTATATATATTAAGTATTAGCAGTGGCTATTGTTTAATGCAGCGGTCGGTGCAAGGGCGACTCAACAACAGCAAACCGGTTCACCGCTGGCTGCCCTTGCTACGAGAGTTCGCACCACACCAACAATACGTTTACGTATGCCATACTGTTCGCTTATTGACTGTTTACTCATGATAAGAAACTGTTATAATAATTAATTCGTTCGCTTGAGACTCTTAGTTCTTGTGCTATCTTTCTATATATAACTATCTCTCTATTCTCCTTCTGCATGTTGTAAAAGACTTGTAACTTTTGTAAATTATAATTATTTAAACTGAAAGACTATTGAATTTTATTTTACTTACACAAGTAGCATAACAGATATTAAATTGAACTATAAAGTGGTGACCCCGTAAAAGTGCACAAAATAAATATGAGTGAGAAACAAAAGGCCGCTGAACAAAATCTCGCCTCATCATCCGATTTTTGTCGAGTCGGTGTTCGAATACCGCCATTTTGGCCGGAAAAACTAGCAATTTGGTTCGTGAAAATCGAAGGACAGTTTGCGATTTCGAATATAATAGCAGATGCGACGAAATTCTATTACATAGTTAGTCAACTCGAACCGCAATATGCATCAGAGTTCGAAGATATAATTATCTCCCCTCCAAACACAGATAAGTACGAAAAGCTAAAAACAGAACTAATCAAACGGCTGTCGGCGTCTAGAGACAGGAAAGTAAAACAACTTCTAATGCATGAAGAACTAGGCGATAGAAAACCTTCACAATTCCTACGCCACTTACATTTGGCTGGACCAGGCATACCTGACGACTTTCTTCGAATTATCTGGATGAGTCGATTACCAAACAGCAGGCAAACAATAATAGTGTCACAAACGACCACTTCTCTTGAGGTACTAGCGGAGCTAGCCCATAAGATTCACGACGTTGTTCCTCCATATCAACATCCACAAGTGGCGTCTACATCAAGCACCAGAGGACAGAGTACAGAAGCTGGATTATCAAATAGCTGAGCTCACCAGGAAAGTGAAGACCCTAACGACTCAAATAAAGAGGAGACGTCCTAGATTACGAAGCAGAAGCCGCCCAAGAAGCAACACCAGGTCGCCTTCTAGTCACAGGAGGTTCCCTGTGTGCTGGTATCACAATAAATATGGCGATCGTGCAAGTAAGTGCATTAAATCATGCAATTATACTCAGTCGGGAAATGTGCAAGGCAATCGGTAACGGTAACCTACGATTGCCCAAGTACTGGTCGCTTATTCGTTACTGACCGCAACACGAAGATGCAGTTTCTCGTTGATACAGGCAGCGATGTCTGTGTTTTTCCACGAGCGGCAATCAAAGAGAATAGGCATAAGACTAATTATCAACTAAGTGCAGCAAATGGTTCGATAATAAATACTTATG